TTGGCGGGTGATTTGAAGATTTGAATCAGCATGGATGTAATATAATTTATTATTGGGTTTGAAATAAGGTTTAAGAGTGCAGCCACTAAGATTTAGAATTACAGTGGATTGCCAAATTATTAGGGACACTACTTTTTTAATAATTTTAAAGTTTTAATAATTTTTGTGAGCAAATAAATTGTTTTTAAATAAATTTTCTTGTGTATTTTAGTTACTAATATAATTATAACTGTTTTCAAATTGTGGAAACATTGCAGTCCAACCTATCTTTCAAAAAGTAAGGTTATTACTCAATTAGCTTTAAATTGTTGAAAAGTATGGTTGGAGTAATCTCAAAATTGATTTCAATTATTTATTTTTGAAACAATTTTTTGCAAGTTTTTTGAGTTCAAAACTATTGAAACCTAAGTATTGGTTAATAGTTCAATTAGTTAAGGGCAATAATTTATTATTTTTGCTAATTTTAATGCATAAATCCTGACTTGTAATCATTCTTACCTCATATTGATTTTTTTTTAGTATGGGCAAGTCTTAACTCCGACTTAACTCCAAGAAAAAGTATGGAAGTAAAAACTTTACTTCTTTATTCTACTCATTCTCAGAGACAAATAGCAGCAATTGCAAGTGTTTCAAAGTTAGTAGTGAGCCGAATTAAAAAAAAATTGATACAAATGTGCCTTCAGAACCAGGCCGTGTCGGCAAAGTGGCCGAAAAAGGATCACTAATCCATGTTGTGACCGTGAAATTAGGGATACCTGTCTGAAAAACAGGAAAAAAAGTGTTGCTCAACTAGCTAAAATAATAAACAATAAAGAAATTAAAGTCTCAAAAGGACAGAAAAGTCATATTAGTAATATATATATATATATATATATATATATATATATATATATATATATATATATATATATATATATATATATATATATATATATATATATATATATAATATATATATATATATATATATATATATATATATATATATATATATATATATATGTATATATATATATATATATATACATATATATATATATATATATATATATATATATATATATATATATATATATATATATATATATATATATATATATATATATATATATATATATATATATATATATATAGCATAAAAATGAAGGAATTAACATCTTCAACGCATAACATAAACAATGAGATGTCATATTAGTAATATATATATATATATATATATATATATATATATATAGCATAAAAATGAAGGAATTAACATCTCCAAAACATAACATAAACAATGAGATGTCATATTAGTAATATATATATATATATATATATATATATATATATATATATATATATATATATATATATATATATATATATATATACTCCTAGATCTACTTTACGGTGACATGCGCAAAAATTCTACTATAAGGCGACACAGCAGTTTTTACCACAAAAAAAAATTTTTTTCGCGCTATAACGACTTCACTCATTTTATAATTACTCCTTTGAGCATATTCTATTGAAATTAAAATAATTGCACTTCCCCACAGTGATATACAAAAAAAAGTGTTACCTTAACGTTTATTCTTTTGTTGATTTTACTCAGTTGCGTCACCTTAGGGTAAAACATCATTGTGAAAACTTATCAACTATGAAGGAAAGCCTTAACAGATGTTAGCGAAATTAATAAATTTAAGTTAATAAGACTTGGTTCTTATATAAAATAGTAAAAAACTAAGTTTTGTGTTTCGCTAAAGTAAAAAATAAGAGTTTTAGTGAAAAAAAAAACTATATTTTTTATTCGCGCATTTTTTTCGCACACTTCGTGCTAAAAGTTTAGAAAATAGTAAAATATAGTCGACTAACTCCTAAATTATGTTTTAATCATAAAAATAATTATATATATACATATAAAAACACTTAAATTCTTTCAAATGTACAAACTGTCACCTTATGGCATTTGTAGGCAAATTTGCCGTTTTATACAATAAACACTCTCAAAACTGCCTTTTCCATATCTCCCCAAAAAAATTTTAGTTCGATCCAAAATTTATTTTTTATATTATTTAAATAGATACCTAAAGCTAGGTAAAGTTTAACTTATAATGCGCAAACAAAAAGCCATTAAATTTGAATCAGAAACGTTAAGGTGACCACAAATAGTTGCCTTAACACAACTGTCGCCTTATAGCGCGTTTTTTTAGCACGTTTTGTCGCCATTGAGTATATCTAGTGATATATATATATATATATATATATATATATATATATATATATATATATATATATATATATATATATATATATATATATATATATATATTTATATAATATATATATATAAATATATATATATATTATATATAAATATATATATATATATATATATATATATATATATATATATATATATATTTATATATATATATATATATATATATATATATATATATATATATATATATATATATATATATATATATATATATATATATAATTGTAACATATTTCAATATAAATATATTTTATAAATATTTATAAAAATATATATGCATATAATTTTTTTTATAGATAATTTATACATAAATATGTATAACGTTAACTGAATTTCACCAAATAAAGATTCAAAATATAATGTACAAATTAATGTTTATCTAAATAAATTTTTGAACCAATATTATTATTGTTATTGATGCGTGTTTATCGAGACAAATAAAATTAAATGGAGCTGTCAAGTTTTAAAATGGTTTGTTTTTGAAAGAAACTTTAAGTTTAATGAACGGAGATGAATGGGAATGAATGGTGGTAATATGTATTTTAAAAGGTATTTTAACATTGAAAAAACAAATACATTTTTTTTTAATGGAAACGATAATATGTATGCTTTTTAGGTATGTGACGGAATATACTTTTGGACCAACAGCCATAAGCTAAACCATCTTTTTACTCATAAAAATCAGTCTCTTCATTGAAATTATACAACTAACTATTTGGCAACATTCAAGCTAACTTCAAAGCTATTTTTTATTTATATAAGCATAAAGTATCTGTTTAAAACATCATTAACTTAAAATTTAAATTAATGCATAGGCATAAATAATTAGCCATTTTTTAAAATAATATTTATAAAATAAAATAAACGATATAAAATAAACGATATTTTAAAAATATCGTTCATTTGCCGATTATTTATATTTCACGCCTGGTTTTTGTGACGGTATTCGGAGCTTTTGATGTTTTTAAGCGTTGCACTTCCTTCTATAATACTTTCATGGTTAAACCTTACCCAAAACCCAACACCCGACTTTGAGATATACCTGCAATATTCGCTAGTAATGTGAAATAAAATAATAACAATTTTTTGTATATAAATATTTGAAATTTTTTAAAAAAAAGCATTTTTTTTATGAAAATAAAAGTGTATTTTTGTAAGTTTTGTGTAGTTTTGTGTACTTTATCAATATATTCCATTTGTTTTGACACAAATACTTTATTATTACATTTATAATTGTAAAAACTCATTCTCATATAAATTACATAATTTTTTATTTTCAACATAGTATGACCATGATAAGATAAAGATTGTTATCATGATACATCATTTTCGAAAAAATGTTCTCATTATACCCATTATATACAAATAACGTTGAAATAACGTTAAACTATCGTTGAAACCTAACGTTGAATTTACGTTGATTTAACGTTTAGAATGAAAGTTTTTTTCAACGTTGATTTATCAACGTTAAATCAACGTTAAATTCAAACGTTATATCAACGTTGATTCGACGCAAAAAAACGTTACAATAACGTTGAATTGACGTCGATTCAACGTTTAGAATGAAAAAATTTTTCAACGTTGATTTATCAACGTTAGGTTCAAACGTTATATCAATGTTGATTCGACGCGATAAAACGTTAGAACAACGTTGAATTTACGTTGATGCAACGTTTAAAATGATAGTTTTTTTAACGTTGATTTATCAACGTTAAAACGACTGTTATAGCACTTTTTCACCATCAAAACGTGCTATGTATGTCAAAATGTATGTATGTATGTATGTATGTATGTATGTATGTATGTATGTATGTATGTATGTATGTATGTAAACGTGCTATGTGCGGTAAAATGTGATCACTATCAAAACGTACTATGTATGTACATTAGTGTTGCTGTGCATTATCAAGGTACATTATGGGTATTAAATCTGCTCATAGTCTATACTTTACTGTTTAGAACTTTTTTAGTTTAGTTTGGTTAAAATAGCTAGGTATGATTAAAAAAAGAGATAAAACTTGTTTTATTGAAAAATATATCTAAATATTACATATATTTATATATAATTGAATAAAATCTACACAAACTTTTTCTCTTTTTCACCACCTTTTTGAAATAGAGCGTCATTTAGATAGTCAAATAATGTTCCATTAACCGAGGTTTCTTTTGGTCCATTGAATACAATAGAAGAAGCTGTAAATAAAAAACATATAAAAAAAAATTTCAAAAAAGGAAAGGTTTGAAAAAAATATGAATGGAAAAGTAATTAAACTTATGAAGGTATATCTTTTTTAACGCCATATAGATTTTGATGTTCTTAAAACATAATTTTCCACTTTTGCCTTTCATATCCGTGGAGGCCATATAATTTTTTCGAAAACAATCTGAATTTTTAAAAGAAAATATAGCTGTTAGTTGGTTATTATTAATTTTGTAGCCACATAAAATTTTTATAAGAAAATTTTATGTGGCCATTTATTATTGGTTTGACGTCCATGTTTATACACTTATGGGGCTCGGACAGGGATTAAATAATGGCATTTTTTAAAAAAATAATAATTGTAATATATAGATGTAATACCTGAAAAGAATTTAGTTTTTATTTGTCGAAACTCAAGCCAATTTTTCTCTGCATTTTAGTGCAGTCAATGCTTCGGTACCTGGAAGCCAACAAACAGTTTTATCACTATTCCAATTAGATGGAATTACTTCTTGTAATTCTTCATTCCAAACAGCTCCTTTCCACATATTTGATTTTGAAAATATTACATGAACTAATAATAAAATGAAGAAACCATAATATAAGTGTACTAACAGGCCTAATTAAACTAGCTAAATCTGAACATTTTATAACCAATACTTGCTAAACAATAATACTTGCTAAACAATAATATCAGTAGAAATTATTAGCAAAGATAAAATTATTATATTTTAAAGTCATTTTTTATAATATATTTATTACTCTATTATTCAGCAGAATTTTTTGGCTCTAATTATTCAAAAAAAAAAATTAAAACTAAAAGTAAACAATAATTTTATTTATAAATATCTATAAAAAGGACACAATATATTTATATAATACAGAAAAAAAAATTAAAATTCTTTTCTTGTATATATATATATATAAGTAAAGAATTTTAATTTTAAAAAAATTAAAATTCTTTTCTTATATATATATATATATATATATATATATATATATATATATATATATATATATATATATATATATATATATATATATATATATATATATATATATATATATATATATATATATATATATATATATATATATATATATATATATATATATATATATATATATATATATATATATATATATATGTATATATATATACATATATATATATATATATATATATATATACACACATATATATATATATACATACATGCATTAATGTATATATATATATATATATATATATATATATATACATATATATATATATATATACATACATGCATTAATGTATATATATATATATATATATATATATATATATATATATATATATATATATATATATATATATATATATATATATGTATATATATATATATATATATATATATATATATGTATATATATTTATATGTAAAACCCTCGGGATAAGGGTCGGCATTCGGCAATGCCAACCTTACTGACCTAAAAGACTTTGAAGTCGTCAAAAAATTACTGACCTCGTTTCTGTTTTATGATAACTCCTTTATGTCATATATATTTTTTGCCAAACTAATGCCGACCACTATAAGTATTGACCTCTTTTCTCCTAATTATGATAACTCCTTTATGCCATATATTTTTTTAATACCTCTTAATAAGATTGATGAAACCTCTAGATAAGATTGATAAACTGCTAGACATAAGCTGCATTGATACTTCATCTAGATCTGTGATATTGGAACCTGTAAAATATCATTTCTATTTTGTAGTAAAAATTATAATAACTCACTTATTTTTAAACAAAAAATCTAACTTTTACTAAACCATAATTCAAGAAAATTAGATAATTGCCTACTTGGAAAATAATATGGATATTCTCTTTGTTTATGTTTTTTTTTTTTAAATCAACATCCTCATTATTTCTTTTTTCCTCAGTCTTGAATTTAAAGAATTCAGTAAATTTAAAATTTTCACATTATTATTTGTTTTCTATGGAAATAAAATAGTTATAAAAAAATCTTTATTTTAGCTTTTTATTAAGATTAAAAAAAATAATTAAGAAATAGATGTTATACCTGAAGAGAACTTAAGTTTTATTAGCGGAAACTTCAGCCAATTTTTCCCAAGATTTTGACAACACTTCATTGCATTTAAAGGTTTGGTACCTGGTGGCCAGTAAATAGTTTTGCTATCTACCCAATTAAAAGGGATTTCACCTTCCTCTTCTTATAAATCTTCTTTCCAAACAACTTTTTTTCACATATATAATTTTAGTAATATCTTATAATAATTTAAACAAATAATAAAAAAAGGAAACCATAATATAAAAACTATTTGAAAACATTATATTATAGACAAAATACTTCAACATAAATAAATAATAAACATCAGAAATACAATAGCAAATTATATTACAAGATGTCACACAATCTGAATGTTCTATGATTACTAAAGAATATTTGCTTAAAAAGAAACATTTAACCTTTTTTATATTTAAAGTTTTTTTTTATATATTTAATGTCTAATAGTAATACTATTACTTTGGTCTTGAAACTAGTATACTAAAAGCTGTTTCTGCATCAAACAAAGATTATTTAGTTTTTATAAATGAAACATTTATAAAAACAACAAATTATTGGTGTAAATATCGATGGTTATTTACCTTTATTTAGGTCTAAATTAATACTAATTCCTTGGTGTATATACTAATAGTATTGACCACCACACTTGATTTCGACAGTAACTGATTTTTGGAGTCTAAAGCAAAGTTCTTTTAATAAAACTTTGCTTCAGGCTCCACGCTAAAACTTTTACACATCCACGTGAACAGCAGTACTCTACTGCTCATTTCACCAGTGTATAATTAAGTGAGATATGCTTTTTTTCAATTTCTTCTCATAAAAACAAAGAAACATTGTCATCACTTTGAGACTAATAATAACAAAGATACTTAACGCATAGTTTTTTTTATAATTGTCAACAATGATTTAAAGTTGAAATAACGTTAAAAAAACGTTTAAACTGTAACGTTAATTTAACGTTGTGACATAGTTGGACAATAGGGTAGAGTGATTTGCATACTTTTTTGAAAATTCAACTTTAGTAACCCATGAGTAAGTTCAACAGGGTAAAATATGAGCTCATAAAAAATTTCAGCTCTCTAAAATAAACAATGGCAAGCTTAATCGACTTTGAAAAAATGCAAAAAAATTGTATATACAAAGTTTACTTATGTAAGTCATTTTTAGATTTTTAAGGCAAAATTAGTTGAAAATTATGTATAATTATATACTAAAGAATTTAGATAATTATAATTATAGGTCTTGAAAGTGCTTACAAACAACTTGAGTAATTTTGACCTCAAGATTATCCAAGATGTAAGTAATTAATAGTTACCAAATATGAATAAAGGATTAATAAATTGAACAATTTATTAATCCTTTATTCATAAAGGTTAATAAATTGTACCAATTACGTTTAAAGTATTTTGACTAAATACTTTAAACGTAATTGGTACGTGTACCCATTTCGTTTAAAATATCTAGCCAATCGTGAATTTAGATAAGGCTGAAGCATTACACTATTTGCAAAAACCTTCAAAAATTATTTATATGACCCCTAAAACTGGTTAATTTTTTTTTTGAAAACAGTGATTATTACAGTGATCAACTTAATAAACGGGTAATAAAAAAAGTCATGGATAACCATCACCAAAATCCGAACATGTTTTTAAATAGTTTTTTTTTAATTGTTTTTAACACTATAAACTTAAATTCACGAAAATAAGTGTTTATCAAGATTTCAATTGCCAAAGGCAAAATATTTCTAAAATAAATACCTTGCAAATGTGAGTCGAACACTTTACCACTACCCTACTACTGCATTGGTCCTAAATCCTAAACACGCTTTTATATTCCTCGCATTGAAAAAGTAAGTACATTTATGTAAATATGTTTTATTAACATCAAATGCATAACAAAATTTATTATTAAAAAACCACAAAGTCGTTTTTAGTTTCAAAATATGGTCGTATTTCCCTGGATTTTAGTTTAGTTAAAATATATTTTTGACGAGCTTTCCTGCCATATACTTGGTGACTAGCCTCTGTAACTAATTTGAACTATCATACTCTTTCAGAACGTTTTATACAATTTCACTTTGAAGCAAACTAGTTGCACCATTTGATGGAAGATTTTTATGAGAGAGATATGAACCATTTTTAAAACTATTTTCATTAGTAAAATTTAAATGATGTTCTTTTTCAGTAACTCTCGACAAGCGAGTTTCTTTATTTTCAATAACATTCTTAAACTGAAGAACATTTTTATCATCTTTACCATCAACACCCAAACACACCGTTACTTAAATTATTATCATGTTGATTACCAATTTTCCTTGATTTGCTTTTAGCCATTTTTTCTATAAATTATCTTCTATTTATAAATTATAATCTAAAAGCAACAAAACAACGCGCAATGCGCATGCCTACTTTGAAAAAAATTCGAAAAATGGCGGTTTTCCACAAAAATAGATTATGGGCCTATCCTATAAAGCGAATTTACAATGTAATTTTCTACAATGTAGCTACATTGTATAAATTGTAAAATTACACGGTCCTATAAAAAATTTACGGCGTAAAGTTATATAATAATGTAAGCTACAATTTTACACTTCCCGAAAGGTGTGTAAATTCGTAATTCATATTGAGTTTTATCAAGTTAAAAACAATTATGTCAAAGATATTGAAAATAAATAAATAACTGAGAAGAATTATTATTTTATATTAGGTTTACTTATTTTAAACAAATATGTGAAAATTTAATTTAAAGCCATTTTAAAAGCAAAATGGCTTTTTAAACTGCAAACTATATTAAACATTTTGCTTATAGAGTTGCTAAGAGTATATATATATATATATATATATATATATATATATATATATATATATATATATATATATATATATATATATATATATATATATATATATATATATATACATTGTTTTTAAATCTTAAACAATTTTTAGATTTTAAAGTTCTTTAGTGTTTGTTAATAAATACTTTACTATTTAATAACGAATACTATTTGTAAATACATTAGAGAGATGCACATCTCTCAAGGCCAAAACTGTAACAGATTTTCTTCGGTGTAATCAGGTGGCAGTACTTGATTGACCTGCTCAGAGCCCGGACATGAATCCGATTGAAAATTTGTGGAGCATTATGGCAACGAACATTGAAGGAAAGAGACCATCTAACTTGGATAGTCGTTGGTTAATTTTGCAAGATGCATGGAACAATATTGATGATGTTACAATTACTCGCCTGTTTGAGTCAATGCCAAACCGTGTGGAACATGTTATTAAAGCGCAAGGTTACCATACTAAATATTGATCAAACTGCATGTTCTTGATACAGAGTGTTATTTTTGATAATTCTAATAAATAAAAATTGTGTTAGCAACAATTTATAGTGTTTTTAGTTGCTTAAAATAATAAATGTATGAAAACTCAATGGTGTATACTTACTTTATGCCGCTATAGTATTTGTAGCTCCCTCAAATTGAGGGGTGTTCAAAATTTATATGATTCTAATATTTGAAATATGTGCAATTTTATTCAAAACTAAAATAATCGTTAATTTATTTAGTTGTTGTGATTAATTTTTTAATTTTTTTAATTTGCACTACAAGAGTAAAGTTTAACATGTTTTAATAATTATTTTTGTTTTCTTTTCAATGTTTGCTAAAATATAATTTTAGTAATGGAGGTGAATTTTTCACAATTGACAATTTTGCTTTTTAGTTGCAAAAGCATTGGTTTAAAAACTTTTTTGCAAAAAAAATTGCACGGCCCTGATTGGGTTACCCCCAATAAGGGCCGTGCCTACTAATAGGCAAACCAAGCAGCTGTCTGGAGCCCTCTACATCCAAGGGGCTCAAAGGGGCTTCAAATTTTTTCAAAATTTTAAAGTAAAAAGAAACATTAAAATTTCAAACTAAATTTACGAAATATTCGTCCAATTTTAAAGTAAACTTCTTTGAAGCGGATATCATTACAACATTATTCAATGTAGTACTATGCTCGTGCTCTTCTTTGTGCATCAATAATGCTCAATCTTGGGAAAAATTGGAGAGACTGGCTACGTGTCTATTGCTTTCAGTATGTCCGTGATACAGTCAATAATACAGAGCATGTTGAAAGTTGTGTAATGCAATAACTTGTGCTAAAAACTGTAGACTTTAAGAACGAGTCGAAATGCAAGTGGATTTAGCAAACAAAAGAAAAAACAAGGGGATTAGAAAAAGATTAAATTTTTGCCAAAAATTAGTTCATTTTTCATTCTACCACAACACAAAAATAAGGTTTTGTCCATTCAAAAATCTCTAACATCGGCAGTTGATGATGCAGCAGCAATTAATGAAAATAGTGAGGACAATAGTTTTGTGCAGAACTCTTTGGCAGAACCTGCATCAATTAAAACATCAAGGGAACTGACACCAACAAAAATTTCTGATTTTGAGATTCACGAGAATTCTACAGATCCTGCAGACTGCCTAACTGATGATTTATCTCATCTCTGAAAACAACTAGTTCTATCAGGACCAATACAGGTAAAATATTAAGGTTTCCCAAAGAGTTTCTTTTCCAATTCCAAAGCAAAACAAACATTTTTGCTTCAAACTACAATAGCTTTTTGACAAATGATTAAACCATAACAAAATCATGGTTTGTTTACTCAAAAAAAAACAGATGCTGTACACTATTTCTGCTGCAAGTTGTTTAGTGTCGATAAACAAAAACTTAGTACCAGTGGCTTTCATGATTGGAAAAAAATTTATTCCATGTTAAGTGAGTATGATCGTTCACAGGAGCGCAACAATTCCTGGATAAGATGGAGTACAGTACAATTGATTAACAGAATCAGAGTATCTTTCAGCAAGAACATCAATACTGGCAATCACTAATTGAAAGAATTGTTAGGGTTAGGGTTAGGGTAAGGAATTATTCAATATTAGGTATAAAACAATTTGGCTTTTTGTGGAAGTGAGGAAAAAACTTTTGTCTACAGAAATGGAAACTTTCTTGGCCTAAGTTATTGGCAAAGTTTGATAGTTTCATGCAGGAGCATGTTCGTCAAGTAATCAACAATCAGTTGCCAAATCATTATTTAAGCAACAGGATTCAAAATGAGCTAATCATACTTACGTCAAGAAAAGTGCAAACTTAAATTATTTATTGTCTAAAGGTAGCAAAATGCTTTGCCCTCATATTGGATTGG